TTTTTTTTTTTTTTTTTTTTTTTTTTTTAATTAAAAATTAAAAAAAGAAATTTCACATTCACATTCCTTTTTCTTTACCTTCCCACTCTTGCAGGATGTCAGTTTCTTCTTCGATTTGGTGATCTGCTCCTCGGCCGTGTTGGTTGCGATCTTTCCCTGTAATGGGTACTCCGAATTCTTGAGTTTGATAGCGATTAAGACCAAGAAAAGGGGTTTTCATGGCAATTTGGAGATGGGTTTGTCTCAGAAGTTGAGGAAGAGGCGCGGTTTTAGGGGTTGGATGATTATGAATTGTTTGTGTTTATGTTAGTTTGGGTCTGTAATTGGGTTTGTTCTACTGGGGTTTCTTTCTTTGTTGTTGTTTTTGGTTATTTTCATTTGATTATGGGTGGGTGTTTTCCTTGTTTTGGATCCTCCGATGAAGACGGTAATGGCGTGAAGGATGCTACTAAAAAGGATTCAGCTAAGGATGGCTCTGCTGCTCAGTCTCACCATGTTACCAGAGTGAGCTCAGGTGATTAAATCAATGGCGGATTCTTTCATTTTCTGTGGTTAATTCTGTAGGGTTTTGTTTACTTTCCTTGTTAGTAGAGCTAGTTCATTGAGTTTTCGTTGTTGATAGGTTTTTTGGGGGAATTTTGTGTTGTTTTGATCTGAACAATTGGGTGGGTTTCTTTTTGAATTGTGTTTGTGTTCTTGGGACCTTAGGTATCTTTGTGCTGTTTTGTTAGCTTCCTCATTGTGTTCTATGTTGTGATTTCTGTGTTTTTTTCATGGCTGAGGATGTTTTTGTGATATGTTTTGTAATGTTTTTGGTTCTGTTGGGAGGAATTGTGTGGATTAGGGAGTGTTTTTTTTATGGAAATGGTTGAAGAACTATGATGGGTCAAAATGTGTGTTCATTTGTGAGTTGGATAAGCTTAGTTAACTCGTTAATGGTTCATGATTTCTTGTGATTTTGTGAGATCCCGTGTCGGTTGGAGGGGGAAGGAAATGTTCCTTGTAAGGGTGTGGAAACCTCTTCCTAGTAGATACGTTTTAAAACCGTGAGGCTAAAGGCGATATGTAAGGATTGGTTGGAGAGGGAAGCGAAACATTCCTTATAAGGGTGTGGAAACCTCTTCCTAGTAGACGCGTTTTGAAACCGTGAGGCTGAAGGCGATATGTAAGGATTGGTTGGAGAGGGGAGCGAAACATTGTTTATAAGGGTGTGGAAACCTCTCCCTAGCAGACGCGTTTTAAAACCATGAGGATTGTTTTGGGATATGTGTGCACAACTCAATGGGTTTGGATTTGTGATGTTTTGTGAAGCTTTTGACTCTGTTGGAAGGAATTGTGAGGATTAGGAAGTGTTTTTCATGGAAATGCTTGAAGAACTATAAAGGGTCAAAATGTGTGTTCATTTGTGAGTTGGATAAGCTTAGTTAACTCGTTAACGGTTCATAATTTCTTGTGATTTTGTGAGATCCCGTGTCGGTTGGAGGGGGAACGAAATGTTCCTTAAGGTGTGGAAACCTCTCTCTAGTAGACGCGTTTTAAAACCGTGAGGCTGAAGGTGATACGTAAGGATCGGTTCGAGAGGGGAATGAAACATTCTTTATAAAGGTGTGGAAACCTCTCCCTAGTAGACGCGTTTTAAAGCCGTGAGACTGACGGCAATACGTAAGGATCGGTTGGAGAGAAGAATGAAACATTCTTTATAAGGGTGTGGAATCCTCTCCCTAGTAGACGCGTTTTAAAACCGTGAGGCTGAAGGTGATACGTAAGGATCGGTTGGAGAAGGGAACAAAACATTCTTTATAAGGGTATGGAAATCTCTCCCTAGTAGACACATTTTAAAACCGTGAGGTTGAAGGCGTACGTAAGGATCAGTTGGAGAGGGGAACGAAACATTCTTTATAAGGGTGTGGAAACCTCTCCCTAGTAGACGCGTTTTAAAACCGTGAGGCTGATGGCAAACGTAAGGATTGGTTGGAGAGGGGAACGAAACATTCTTTATAAGTGTGTGGAAACATTTCTCTAGTAGACGCGTTTTAAAATCGTGAGGCTGACGACGATACGTAACGGGCCAAAGCGGACAATATAGCGGTGGGCTTGGGCTATTATAGATTTATACTACGAGTTGTTTTTATTTCAAGAAATGGAAGTATCAAGCTCAGTAGACTTATGTGAACCAGGGTGTAGTGTGCATCTGGTTGTTTTGTTGCATTAGTTTGTAGGATTGATACAACATCTGAGTTGCTAGTTTTTACAGATAAATCGAAGTCGAAGAGTGTATCCGATGCTAAGAAGGAACCAACGGTTCAAAAGGATGGAACAACAGCACATATTGCAGCCCAAACGTTTACATTTCGGGAGCTCGCTACAGCCACGAAGAACTTCAGATCTGAATGCTTGCTGGGAGAAGGGGGGTTCGGAAGGGTTTACAAGGGTCGCTTGGAGAGCACGGGACAGGTTAGATCATATTTTTCGCAAATTTATGACATGAATATGTTAAGTTCTGAATGACTTCCCCTTGTAATATGAAGGTAGTGGCTGTGAAGCAGCTCGACCGTAACGGTCTTCAAGGAAATCGGGAGTTTTTGGTGGAGGTTCTCATGCTTAGCCTGTTACATCACCCGAATCTTGTTAACTTGATAGGCTATTGTGCTGATGGGGATCAACGTCTTCTTGTTTACGAGTTCATGCCATTGGGTTCGTTGGAAGATCATTTGCACGGTTCGATATCTACTACCTTTTTCTTTTCGTCTTGTGGAAGGAACAAATCTTAAAGTTTCAAATCTAAAAGCATTATATGACCCACATCGGTCAGAGAGGGGAACGAAACATTCTTTATAAGCGTGTGGAAACCTCTCTCTAGTGGACGCGTTTTAAATCCTTGAGGGGAAGCTTGGATGGGAAAACCCAAAGAGGACAATATCTGCTAGCGGTGGTCTTGGGTTGTTATATAAGTAGAGTGAGAGTGGGGGATCGGGTATAACTAAACCAACCTAACACGTATAAACTCGGTGTATTAACGCACGGACTCGACTGTTACCCTTTCTTGGTTTCTCTAATCTCGGGGTTGTTTCGTATGTCTTAATCTCTACTAAATCTTTACGAGTCTTGCGTTGTCGTGAAGCTTTGGTATTCGTTTCTGATTACTTTTTTACTTGTTTGTCAGATCTTCCACCTGATAAGGAGCCCTTGGATTGGAATATTAGAATGAAGATTGCAGCTGGTGCTGCAAAAGGATTGGAGTATTTGCACGACAAAGCAAACCCGCCTGTTATATATCGAGACTTGAAGTCGTCTAATATTCTTCTCGACGAGGGCTACCACCCGAAGCTGTCAGATTTCGGTCTAGCAAAACTCGGTCCAGTTGGTGATAAGACTCACGTCTCGACGAGAGTGATGGGAACATATGGTTATTGTGCTCCAGAGTATGCTATGACTGGTCAGCTCACTCTCAAATCAGATGTATATAGTTTCGGAGTCGTCTTTCTAGAACTCATCACAGGGCGTAAGGCGATCGATAATACTAGAGGTCCGGGGGAGCATAATCTCGTGGCATGGGTGAGTATGCTCGACTTTCGTTCTTTGTGCATTTCGATTTATATTAATCACTCGAGCTTCGTCTTTCAAATGGTATACAGGCTCGACCACTTTTTAAAGATCGTCGAAAGTTCCCGAAGATGGCCGATCCACTGCTGCAAGGTCGTTATCCCATGCGGGGACTTTATCAGGCATTGGCCGTTGCAGCAATGTGCTTGCAGGAACAGGCTGCAACAAGACCTCTAATTGGGGACGTTGTTACTGCTTTGACATATTTAGCGTCCCAAGCTTATGATCCAAATGCAGCTGCTTCACAAAGCAATCGAATGGGTGGATCGACTCCACGAGCTCGAGATGATCGACGAGGTTTATCTGATGGATTGGATAGTCCGGACGAGCGTGGACGAGGACGTGGATCCCCATCGAACTACAGAAACTCACCGGACTACCGAAGGAAAGACCTCCATAGGGAATTGAGCTGTGGAGGTACAGAGGTGAACAAAATCGACACGGGAGGCGGATCCGGTCGAAAATGGGGATTGGATGAGCTGGAACGACAAGAATCTCTCCGAGACAGTCCTGTATATACGGGGAGAGGTAGGGAAACGCCGAGGAACCGTGACCTGAACAGAGAACGTGCAGTGGCTGAAGCAAAAGTGTGGGGCGAAAACTGGAGAGAGCGGAAGCGGGCAAACGCTGAAGGGAGCTTTGATGGTTCACAGGAATGAAAGAGAAGAAGGTCCAAGTTTGTTGGTGACATTTTGGTTGATCTTTTGAGGAGTAGAGGAAGGAAAGGAAAAGAGTGAGATTACAAAACTACTAGAGGTATCATCATCTATGTTCCATTTGCAAAGCCCATCCCACAAAGTATTTTCTTTTTATAGTATCAATTGCATCCAAGTTTAAGTATTGTTGCTGCTGCTGCTGCTGGTTCTTCCTTCTATGGTGAGGTCGAAAGAGGGACAATGTAATCGAGACGAGGTGTCGAGCATAGGTCGGTTGGTTGGTCGGTTGGTTCGTGGTTGAACCGTGTAATTTTGGAGGTGTCTAAAATTTCATGGTGAAAAAAGTAGTGAGTTTGGTGTGGGGTTTTTCCATTGTTACTTATGGCTGCTGCTATTAGTTCAGTTCTTTGTTCCTAGTCTTACAAATCCCTTTCATATATGGATTCTCTCCGAGTATCAATTGGTTATGCTTTCGGCTTATACACAAAGCTTTGTTGTTACTTATCTCTGAGTATCAATTGGTTTTTCGAAATTATTCGAGGAGGTTGGAACAATGTGACCAGTACGGTTCGTTCAGTATTTGAAATAATTTTTTGCCCCGTCTCGAAAAATTTGGCTCGTTCGAGTATTTTGAACCACCCTATTCCCCTTCCCTAGAAATTATTCAAGTCGGAAGAATGTGGTTCATATTTCTACGCTTCGTGAAAAATATTGATTCAAGCCTACATCCAACGGTTTGAGTTATATCAATCAAAAGGTTAGAAGTTACAATCCTCTGTTCCTGTACACCGTTGAGCCCATATTAAACAATAAATATATATTTTAATTCCTAATATTCTAATATTTATTTGATTTAGCCCATATTATTTTAAAAAATCGTTGGTTCTTTATAGAGGTTTAAATATTGGTTTAAATCATGATAACTAAGTTTATTAATGAACCACCGGAGTTCTTATTTAGACAATTAAAGTCATCAGCAAACATTCTATAATCTTTACAACATCATTAAAAATTGGTTTATATATATATGTGTGTGTTTCTGTGTAAAGATTATGACTATTTCTCCAATCATCTTTCAATTTGGCCTCAAAATCATTTACCAGTAGCTGCCATCATATGCCCCTTCTAATGCACTTTTTTGTGCTATTTCGAGTCCTTCGCTGCCAATTCACCTGCATTTCCCTGCATTAACAAGCCCCCGTTCCATAAGTTTTAGACAATCTATAGACCTTATTTTTCATAAGGTTCTAACTCGATCATCGTATCAATAACTTTCTCAATAAGAAGTATAAACTTGTAGACAATCTATAGAGCTTATTTTTCAGAACGTTCTAACTAGATCATGATATCAATAACTTTCTCGTTCGGAAGTTTGAGATTTGTATCTAAATATACTAAAAATGTCAAAGTTCATGTACTAAACTTATGATTTAATCTCGTTTTTAAGTATTAATATGAACAATAATAATAAGATTTACAAGTTACTGAATCATTAGCAAGCTTACCTTGGAATCTGGAGTGGCTGAGATTTGGGTTTGTTCAACTTTTGGAGCTGGTTCTTCCTTCTTAGCTTGGGTTTCTTCTTTCAATTTCACTGCCTCTCCTGTCCACATAAATCAGACAAATCTTTACCTCTTTGTGGGGGTGAAATCAAATAATTTGTTATTGCTATTGTTATCGATTTGGTTATAATTGTAAACCATATGAACTCTGCTCCCAATTAACTAAATTTGGGAAGGAAAGATTGAATATTCAACCTTTGAAAAAGATACTTGCTATTGCTTAAATTGCTACCTAAAGTTCTTGACCGATATAATTGAAAGGTTGGAACCCAGATCAAAAATTAGATTGTTATCCCATGCAGATCCGTTAATGTTTTAAGAATTTTAGATATACAGTAGAGCTATAAAATTGTTGTTAGAAATTTGTTTAAGCAAAATTTAGTAAAGAAGTTTGAAATAATTTTCTTGCATTGTGTAGAAATTTTACTGACCAGTTTGCTTCTCTACTTTGGATTCTTCGGCCAATTGCTTTTCCTCCACCGGTTTGATTACTTGTTCAACGCCGCTGCAGCCATTATCGCCGCCTTCCTTCTTCTCTGTCTTCGTTTCAATGGGCAACTGCTTTTCATCTACAGTTCTAATTACCTGTTCTACTTGTTCGGTCAACGGCTTTTTCTCAACGAGTTTAGTTACCTGTTCAACTTGTCCGGCCAATTGCTTTTCCTCAACAGGTTTAATTCTCGGTTCTACCTCTCCGGCCACCTGCTTTTTCTCAACAGGTTTATTTTCCTGTTCTACTTCTCCGGCCAACTGCGGTTCCACGACAGGTTTAGTTCCCTGTGCTGCTTCAATTGCACTGTCGAAAACAATGGCCTCCTTCTCCTTCTCCTTCTCTGCTTTCGTTTCTCCGGCGACCTGTTTTTCAATAGCACCGTCATTGTTCGCCTTCTTCTCGCCGTCACAGGTGACCTCCTTCTCTTTTATCTCCTCTGTTTTCGCTACTTCCGTCGCCGGATTCTGGACCTCCGCCACAACACCATCGCTCTTCTCCTCGGATTCAAACTTCACAGCGCCAACGATATTCTCGGCATCGCTCTTCTTCTCCTCTCGCTTCTCTATTTTTTTCTCCGATTCAATCTTCACAGAGCCATCGATTTTCTCCTCATCGATAATCTTCTCTGTTTTTTTCACAGACGCAGCCTTCGCATCATCCACAACCGCAACAGCAGCAGCTTTGGATCCGTTCTTGGATCTTGCGCTGGATTTCTTGCGGAGTAGGACGCCATCGGTGGTGGCGACAGCAAGCTTCGACTCTCCACAGCCCATTATTGAGGCAAAATTGATGGATGAAGTGGCGGAGGAAGGAGAAATTCGAAGAATATAGAATTAGATCTCTCCCGCCTTCAAAACGCCCAGGGAGAGATCGATTGAGCAGCGACAGCAAAGAAGGAAGCAAATCAAAGCCGAGAGATTAATTCGTTGGTTGGATTGTTCATACTTGTTTGTAATTATAATCGCGTTGGAAACATGAAATTCCATGAGCGGCATTTGGTTTGTTAGGGCTTGTTTCTCCATAGCCATTGGCGTCCCGTTTTTCTCTCTGCTTCAAACGTTGAACATGGAGCATTTTCCGGATACCTTTCGAACTCTTCCAAAAGCCTTCCATTTCCAAACTTTTCAATACCCGAAATTACCCTTCCCTTCTATTTCAGGTTTAAAATTACTTTTTAGTCCCTAACTTAGTTATAAACTTTTATTTATGACCATTTTGTCCTTATTATAAAAATTGTCATTAAAATTTTAAAAAAAATATTTTCACTAAATAGATTAATATATTAATTAGGGATTTATAAACTTTCAAATTAGGTTAACTTTTTAATGACGTAAATTAAATTGTTGTAAAATTAAAAATATATAAATTGTAGCGTATTAAAATTATGTGTATATATATATATATATATATATATATTTTTTTTTTTTTTTGTTAAATTATAAATTCGGTTATTGGACTTTAAAATTTTTGTTCAATGTGCTCATTATATGTCGAATGAACTATGGTATATGTGATAATTTACATGGGCCCGTTCTCGATAACATGACTGAGCAAGTTGTGATGGTCGATGACATCCCGAGACTCGGGATGACGTCAAGACATATGGACCATGTCGATGGGGATCGAGATGACATGAGATGCGACGTTGCATTGAGAGACTTTGACCCCGAACAAAGACAAGGTCGAGCCCAATGACTTGCCTAATGTAGAGGCAAGTCGGTTGTGTTGCATTAAATATAATATTAAAATTTATATTTTTATTGATTTATTCTCTTGGAATAATTTTTTTTTATTGCAACGTGTGCTGATTTTATAGGCTTAATAAAACTATATATTATAATGTTAAAAGTTTGCAGTGGTAACATTGTTAATTAAATTAATTCATTAAAAAAAATTGTAGACAAAACAAGTAGACACCACGTGTTGGAATTCCAGCCGTCAGATTGAAACAACGTTGCCACGTGTCGGGTTTTAATTTGTCGGAGCTATATCGCCATCCACATAAGCTGCCATAATCAGCAAATATGACTACGTGAGTGTAAGCCATATGCACACAATTTGACCATTGAAGTTCCACACGTCAGCTGATATGCTACATGTCACTTTCTAATTGGGTGTGTGCCACGTGTCACTCACTTTACTTATTTGGCAATATTTAACCTTATAAATTCATTAATTTCGACAATATCTCAGGTTCTTTGTTGTTCAACAAAACCCGTTAATAATATATATGCTTACTCAAGAACCCGACCTACACGCACAAAGACCATTTCGTCCCCAAATGCTCGTTCATCCCAATTTCTTTCACGAGCTCGTCATCTTCATTTTAAAGTATTTTCAAATGTATGAAAAATGCACCGAATATTATTAAATTTATAAAAATAAATAAAAAATTGAGAAAAAATAATAGAATATTATAATTTTGTCACGATGTTAGGCAATAATTCTCCACGTGGAGCCCTTCCATATCTCAACCCATTTCTTATTTTCCTATTGGGAAAGGAAAATGATATATAATTTTATTTAAATTAATTGACAAAATATAAATAAAATTGAAAATACAAATTTGTATGATATATATTGAGACAATTTAAAACATATTTTAATATAAAATTACGTTTATAACCTTAAAAATTAGAAACAACAATATTTAAACATTATTTTGATTCTAAACCTTTTTATTTATTTATTTATTTATTTATTTATTGAGTTGTAAGATTCGATTTTTTTTTCTTGATTTTGTCGTGTTTTCAAATATTTGTATGGGTTATTTTTATTTGTATATTATATTTAATTCATATAAGTTAATTTTTTATTTTAATACACGTGGAATCTTGGGAAGAATATAATTAATATATATATATATATATTATTTCAAACATGATTTAATAAATACAAAATTGAGAGTTATTAAATTTTAATTTATATATAACAATTCCATTAATCCTTAAAATTTTGAAGGGTAGATTAGACCTTTTTTAAAGTTTAAAATCAAGACACAATTGTCTAAATTTGCCGACTAAATTTATAATTTTAAAATATTTTTTTATTAAGTTAATATAAAGTTCATATGACTCGACCGATAAACTTAGACTACTTGAATCATTTTGTGTTTGAATTAACGTTCGATTGAATTTTTTTAAAAATTAAAAATTTGGTTCGGTTGGTAGGTTAATACTTTTTTGGTTGGGTTAACTCCATCCCATCATAAAAATTCAATTTCATTTTTTTTAAAAAATTAAAATATTTAACGCTAGTAATTAATAATTTTTAATGATATATTCTATCTGATAAATATTTAATATTTAAATTTTATGAAATTTTAATTATTAATTATGGTTTAAATAATTAATAAGTTAGTTTGAGGTAACGTAAAAGAATTGGTAGCTTAGAATTGAGAAATGAGGAGCAAGAGAGCAAGAATCCAGAGGTTGAGACGAAAAATGGAACTGTAAGTTGAAAGGTTATTTTAGTACGGAAATGGCTTCCAAAATTTGCAGAGCTGAATTTCATTGGGATTCACAGTCTCTTCCACCTTCGCCATCAAGTGGGGGAAGAGAAGAAGTTTCTTCCTCCAAGAAAGAAAAAGTGATGAAACAATGGAATACTCATTGCCTTCGAAGTGTTTGATAAAATGCTCCAATCAGATTCTTGGCTTCACACTTCTTCTTTTCCTTCATTGAATTCCCCATTAGCTAAAATTTCGGCGCCTGCTCTTTTCATCTCCCCATGTCAGCCTTCGACCCACCTTATCCTTTACGGATTCCCCCCCCCCCCCC